ACAGTCTGGCTCACCCTGGCCGGGATTGGGGGGTGGGGGTGGGGTTGGGGGTGGAGTGGGTTCTAGAACCCTGCCCACTGGGTTCCTGCCCCCTCCTGGTTCCCTGCCCCATCCAGAGCAGAGCCTGCAGCAGCCTGGGGAGCTCTGGGGACAGTCAAACCAGTTCACACGAAAGGTGAAATTAAACCATCTCTGACATTTTACTTATGGGATTTGTCTACCAAATCCTTATACAGTTCTTAGCATGTGCCCGGCGCACACACACTACATGCAGATCTTCCCATCAATTCTGTAAAGGTGATGAGGGACATCACACATACACACTCATGCACAGATACATAAGAACATAAGACGGCTACATAGGAACATAGGATGTGTTGCTTCGAAGGCAAGATGGAAACAGAACAGACCTTGGAGGGCAATCTAATGTTTACACCAGGCGCACACATTCCCTACTCAACAATTTAAACCTAAAATGTTTTAAGCAAGTTAAATACCTACTTCAAAGCATGTCCTCACCAACCAGGTGTAAGCAGAAATGACCAGCTGTTATGCTACAACGTTTCTGACCTTGCAGACAAACATTCAGGCCAGCAGAGGATTTAAATTTAAAACTCATTAACAATCTTTTTCCCAGTAAAAATAGACATTGCATCTTAAAAAAACGATGCTACTAAAGAATGCAAGTTTTCACACCTATTAAATTACCAAAAAGAAAAAGAAAGAAAAATGCTGTTAATTCCCAGTGCTGCAGAAGCAAATTGTCGATGGCAATGCCGGTCAGTAAACCCCTATGGTTCATTCAACTCAGTGGGCACCTACTATGTGCATACAACTCAATGAGCACCTACTCAGCGCAAATCAGTATGCATCAGGAATAGAAAAACAAACCATTTGAAAGAGTAACCCCACTGTGACACTTCATCCTGTGAAAATAATTCCCATCAAAGAGAGTGCATGCCAAGGCTCTGGGCCATGAGCCTGATGGACCAGTACAGTACGTTATCCAAAAGTAATTAGTGAGACTCTACGAGATATTGGGGGAATTTGGATTTTAAGGCTGTAAAAAGCAGAATGAGTAACATCTGCACTGTGATCACGACACAAGACCATCATACAACAGCCACACGACGCCCCTTCCAGCTCCAACTGCCCCACCTGTCACCCCCGAACTGAGAACGCTGCACTCAGCCCCTCGTTGTAAAGAAGGCAGCGTCCCATTAGGGATGATGGTGGGAACTGGCTGAGACAACAGACTGGGTGCCTCAAGGATTTGGCCAGAGTGAGAGAAGACGTGCACAAGAGAAAGGGGGGGAAGGGGGGGGTTGGCACAGGGGCCGGGAAGAACTGGTTCATCCCTGGGAGCTTTCTGGCTCCTCCTCGCAGTAAAACCATCTTTTCTTAAGGGCATCCAAGTCTCCACTTCTTACAGCCAAAGCTCTTAATCCCCATAAACGTGTATAACATAGAAAGTAACCCAGAGCCCTAGCCGGTTTGGCTCAGTGGATAGAGCATCGGCCTGTAGATTGAAGGGTCCTGGATTCGATTCCGGTCAAGGGCACATGCCCAGGTTGCGGGCTCCATCCCCAGTAGGGGGTGTGCAGGAGGCAGCCAATCAATGATTCTCTGTCATCATTGATGTTTCTATCCCTCTCTCACTCTCCCTTCCTCTCTGAAATCAATTAAAATTTATTTTTAAAAAAGTAACCTAGAAAACATAGAAGGTCACCCATTACAACTAGAAGGCAATCCAGAAAAGTCAAAGGTGGATTCTGTTGAAACAATAAATAAAATGAATGGAAAAGAGCTGTAGTTCCCATATGAGGTCAGAGCCCTCCCAGCTAATGACACCAGGTTTGCACATTCTGATACACAGTTCGAGGCCTGCACAGAGATACACGGTTCTCGGCCTCAACTTGGCCAACACGCAGCACTTTGAAACTGTTACACAAAAATTGCAAAGTATTAGATAAATAACAAAGATTAACTAAGCTCACAGAATTCCACCGGCTGCTGCTCTGGCAAATGTACAGCGTGTTTAATGACAGAGACAAACAACTTACACTTCAGTGTGAAACAGGACTTCTCTCCTCTATCGTCCCCACCCGCCCCAAAACTCTCTTTGAAGTTGAACTCTTCAAGAATAGCCACTGTTTTCACTGTAAATATGAGACTTGGGTGTTTATTAAATACAGAAATACTTAATATGCAGTCTGCCTACTAAACACACAGTCTCCACAAAGAAAGGCTGTCATTACGTAAGATTGGCACCTTGCCTCGCCAATGCCACCTCTCAGAGGGCTCGCACATCAGGTCCCCGACAGGCAGCCTGGGGATTGTTTTCTCTTTATATGTCAATTCTTTAAAAAGGACCCAGAGAAGCGATCTACTTAGCTGCTAAGGAGAGGGCCGGGGTACAAGGCTGTTCTTCTGATCCATCCTCTACCCTTTATGCTGTCCACGCAGCAGAAAAATAACTAGGAAATGCTCTATTTAACCACAGCAACCCAAACCCGAATAGAGATCTGGTCTTTCACTTTCTGGGAAACAACAGCTTTGTCTCTTTAAAAGCGTAATTACAAATAAGAATGATGAGAGGTGTGCTCTGTTTAAGATTACTACCCCCGCCCCCCAAAGCCCCCAGAATCAATGCTGGCATGAATGGAAGCACATGCGGTGACCCATCTCTACCTTGTCTGCACGAAGACTGGCTCCGGGGTGACTTTCTAACTGTGAGGCCCTGGGTGCTGGGCCAGCCCCGTGACGTTGCTGCAGGTTCCTGGGCAGGAGACCTGGGGCCTAACCCCGGATTTGTTAATAATTACTTAGCCAACCTTAGGGAAATAATGTCACCTCCCCGAATCTCAGCTCCTCGTCTTCAAAGTAAGAGTCTACCATTATTTTAGGTGCTTATTCGGTGTCAGAGTAAAAGCCAACATCTTTACACCAGCCTGCAAGTTGGACGTCAGCAATCCAGGCATGCATGAGGGCCTGGCGTGAGGCAGGTGGGGGGACGAGAAAAATGGGTGATGAGGGACATCACACATACACACTCATGCACAGATACATAAGAACATAAGACGGCTACATAGGAACATAGGATGTGTTGCTTCGAAGGCAAGATGGAAACAGAACAGACCTTGGAGGGCAATCTAATGTTTACACCAGGCGCACACATTCCCTACTCAACAATTTAAACCTAAAATGTTTTAAGCAAGTTAAATACCTACTTCAAAGCATGTCCTCACCAACCAGGTGTAAGCAGAAATGACCAGCTGTTATGCTACAACGTTTCTGACCTTGCAGACAAACATTCAGGCCAGCAGAGGATTTAAATTTAAAACTCATTAACAATCTTTTTCCCAGTAAAAATAGACATTGCATCTTAAAAAACGATGCTACTAAAGAATGCAAGTTTTCACACCTATTAAATTACCAAAAAGAAAAAGAAAGAAAAATGCTGTTAATTCCCAGTGCTGCAGAAGCAAATTGTCGATGGCAATGCCGGTCAGTAAACCCCTATGGTTCATTCAACTCAGTGGGCACCTACTATGTGCATACAACTCAATGAGCACCTACTCAGCGCAAATCAGTATGCATCAGGAATAGAAAAACAAACCATTTGAAAGAGTAACCCCACTGTGACACTTCATCCTGTGAAAATAATTCCCATCAAAGAGAGTGCATGCCAAGGCTCTGGGCCATGAGCCTGATGGACCAGTACAGTACGTTATCCAAAAGTAATTAGTGAGACTCTACGAGATATTGGGGGAATTTGGATTTTAAGGCTGTAAAAAGCAGAATGAGTAACATCTGCACTGTGATCACGACACAAGACCATCATACAACAGCCACACGACGCCCCTTCCAGCTCCAACTGCCCCACCTGTCACCCCCGAACTGAGAACGCTGCACTCAGCCCCTCGTTGTAAAGAAGGCAGCGTCCCATTAGGGATGATGGTGGGAACTGGCTGAGACAACAGACTGGGTGCCTCAAGGATTTGGCCAGAGTGAGAGAAGACGTGCACAAGAGAAAGGGGGGGAAGGGGGGGGTTGGCACAGGGGCCGGGAAGAACTGGTTCATCCCTGGGAGCTTTCTGGCTCCTCCTCGCAGTAAAACCATCTTTTCTTAAGGGCATCCAAGTCTCCACTTCTTACAGCCAAAGCTCTTAATCCCCATAAACGTGTATAACATAGAAAGTAACCCAGAGCCCTAGCCGGTTTGGCTCAGTGGATAGAGCATCGGCCTGTAGATTGAAGGGTCCTGGATTCGATTCCGGTCAAGGGCACATGCCCAGGTTACGGGCTCCATCCCCAGTAGGGGGTGTGCAGGAGGCAGCCAATCAATGATTCTCTGTCATCATGTTTCTATCCCTCTCTCACTCTCCCTTCCTCTCTGAAATCAATTAAAATTTATTTTTAAAAAAGTAACCTAGAAAACATAGAAGGTCACCCATTACAACTAGAAGGCAATCCAGAAAAGTCAAAGGTGGATTCTGTTGAAACAATAAATAAAATGAATGGAAAAGAGCTGTAGTTCCCATATGAGGTCAGATCCCTCCCAGCTAATGACACCAGGTTTGCACATTCTGCTACACAGTTCGAGGCCTGCACAGAGATACACGGTTCTCGGCCTCAACTTGGCCAACACGCAGCACTTTGAAACTGTTACACAAAAATTGCAAAGTATTAGATAAATAACAAAGATTAACTAAGCTCACAGAATTCCACCGGCTG